TTCCAAGCCTGCACATCTGTCTAAATGGTATTGTTTGCCCTGTGCTAAAGTTGGCTAGAGATACCTAGCAAAAAAAATGCGTAGCTTAAGGATAACCATACTTGGTTTAGGAAATCTTATGTAAGACCCATTCAAACATTGCTTGTGATAGACGTTAACAAACATAATAATAATAATAATAATAATATAATAATAAATAATGAGGGAGTACTTACAAACACATACTACTGCTAACAGAAATTTTCAAGCATGTTGGTCTGTATGTCAATAAGAGACCTCTCTATGACCAACCACATGCTGGCTAAACACATGCCAGTTTTTGTCTAACACTTAAATCCAGCTTTTTAGCTTAGAACAGAAATATGGATCAAGGCAACCTACCACTATCAGTTTACAAAAGAAACAGCTAAAAAAGAGTTAGTGGTAGGATGTCTTGGCCTAACAGTCTGCTAAAAGTAGTTGAATTTGTCTGAAAATGACCATGTGCAGGGCCAGCACTATGCTGCCCCTAAACAATGCAATTTGATGTAGTTATCAAACAATTTATTCAATTTATTGACAAAAATCTCAAACCAATCAAAGCCATAAAATGGTGGTTTTAATAAGAACAAATCAAAAATTAACTTGATCAAATGCAAAGGAAAATTTTGATTGTTTTCCACAAGATTGCTCAAATTATTTCTCATTTCAATTCCATTTAATTCAATTGCAATTTTGTTCTTCTTTACTGAAGCTGCCAAATCGTTGCCAAGTTTCAACCTCTCAATTGACTATAATCTGGTGGTAGACGGCTTAGTTTCTGGCAATTATTTCAATTATATATTTGCGATTTTTCGATGGATTGAAATTGCCTGAAATTGTCAAGTGAATGGCCAGTTTTAGGGTTTGTGCACATAGGCATTTCTTAGGATCTTGTAACAATCTACAGACAGATCCATTCAATGCTTTATACTGTACATTGTAATAATGCACTCGCCAAACTTGCTGCAACCTTTCTCTCTTCAGTGGCCAGTGTAGTGCATCCCCTAAGGAGATGTTGGTTTGATGAGTACTCTGAAACTTAGTCTCTGTCTTCAAATAGTGGGGCTTGCTTCCGCCCTTACCACTCTTACATACCCCTTCTACTTATTAAACACCAAATTAGCTAAATGCCTGGGGTGACTCTGCCTAGTCCAAGTCTGCCTACAGGACTTCAGTGTTCAACAAGGCGGAGAATTGCTTAAGTTTATGTAAGCACTGTGAGACAAGAAGGAATACTCTCCAAAGAAATTTGAAAAAAGTAGTTATTTCTGCCATTGTGGTTGGGGCCCTTTCGGTGATGCACTAATGATAATGCCAAGTGACTTCCTAACACCCCTTTCCAGTTTCCGGGGGGGGAGGGGGGCTTGAAGAAGAGTTCTGGTAGGAGGAACTTGAATTGGGTTTAACAGTAATTAGAATGCCAGTAACAAATGCAGATATGAGTTATTTGGTTCTGAGTAATTAGGGTAATCCAAGGCATGGCACTTCTTGGTGATATGCAACATAAGCACTATAGCATGGATGCTCAACCTGTGGCCCTCCAGCTATTGCAGAACTACAAATCCCATGAGGCATTGCAAGGGTGACAGTTACAATCATGACTCCCAAAGACAGAGGCATGTTGGAACTTGTAATTTTGCAACAACTGGAGGGCCATAGCTTGATAACCCATGCAGTAGAGTGTCTAAGAAACTGGATTGCAAACTGTGTTAACTAGAGTCTTGCTTTGTTCTGTGATGCAAAGTGTAGGGTGGGCTGGCAACCCTCTCACCAATCCATGCACTTTAGCTGTGGGTACCGATGGTGGAGGGGCCCCTCATGGATTGGTGGTTTGAGCTCCAGCGATCCCACTCTATTTAGCTGTGGATGCAGATAATGACTGTCAAACCCACTCTGTATGGCTGTGGTTGCAGATAATGACCAGAAAATCCACTCTGTATGGCTGTGGATGCAGATGAGTAGGTTGCACTGGTGCATAGGTGCCGAGGACTCCATGGATGTCCGCTTCCTTCCCTGATCTGGCTCCAAGTACCCTGATCCTACCCAAGCAGCCCACTAAATTTTCCTCCACTTTTCCTCCTATTCCGCAGGACTCCCTGGGGATTGTAGTTCCCTTGAAGTGTCAATTATACTTAGTGAAAGTACATCTCCCACAATCCTTGGCTTAACAACTCCCCCCTCCATTCTGAGTTTGGCTAATCCAGGGTGGGCATGGAGGGTCAATGAAAATGCTGGGACTTGTTGGCCCATAGATAACTCTAAAAAGCTTGCCCTTATTTTATTTTAGCCAGAGAGGAATTCTTGTGCCAAATGATTAAATGATTGCTTCGCTTGCTGTTTTTGAAAGGTTCATAGAGACTTTTCAGCAAATGACTATTGTACTATGTGCGATGATGATTGTGTTTTTGTTTCCACATATACAAAAACATACATGCAGAGAATAAATTCACAACTGAAGATCAATTCTTTTTCCTTACCGAATTTTGTGGTAGATTCTATACCAGAACTACATTAATTTATCAGCATGCTGGAAATGGACTTAACTAGTTGAAGCCCCCTCCACACTTGCACCTTAGATGCTTTGTGTTTCTACACACATCCCATCTTGATATTTTGTACGTAACATGCATTGCGTTAAGGTAGGCCGATTGAGGTAGAATTGGCTACCAATACATGGCAAGAAAAAAAAAAGTGGGCCCACAACTTTTTTTTAATGCAACATGCAGCATGTGCATTGTGGTATATGCAGTGCAGGTCTATCGGCACCTAATGTACTGTGCTTTAGAATGCCATTCTTAATTAATGGCATATATACAATCACCAGCCACTTTATTAGATACACCTGTACAATTGCTTGACAACTCAAATTTACTAATAAGCCAATCATGTGGCAGCAACTCAATGCATTTGGGCATTTAGACATGGTGAAGACAACTTTCTGAAGTTCAAACCAAGCATAAGAATGGGGAAGAAAGGGGATTTAGGTGACCTTTAATCTGGCATGGTTGTTGGTGCCAGATGGGCTGGTCTGAGTATTTCAAAAACTGCTGATCTACAGGGATTTTCACGCACAACCATCTCTAGGATTTACAGAGAATGGTCCAATAAAGAGAAAATATCCAGTGAGTGGCAGTTGTGTGGACAAAAATGCCTTGTTGATGTTCGAGGAGAATGGGCAGACCGGCTTGAGTTTATAGAAAGGCAACAGTAACTCAAATAACCACTCGCTACAACCAAGGTATGCAGACTATAATCTCTGAACACACAACATGTCCAATCTTGAAACAGATGGGCTACAGCAGCAGAAGACCACATCTGGTGCCACTCTTGTCAGATAAGAACAGAAAACGGGGGCTACAGTTCACATAGCCTCACCAAAATGGGACAATATAAAAATTGGAAAAATGTTGCCTGGTCTGATGAGTCTCAATATCAGCTGCAACAGTCAGATGGTAAGGTCAGAATATGGCGTAAACAACATGAAAGCATGGATCCATCCTGTCTTTTATCAACAGTTCATGGATGTGCAACTCACAAATCTGTAGCAACTATGTGATGCTATCATGTCAATATGAACCAAAATCTCTGAGGAATCTTTCAAACACATTGTTGAGTCTATGCCATGATGAATTAAGGTAGTTCTGAAGGCAAAAGGGGGTCCAACCCAATCCTAGCCAATGTACCTAAAAAAGCGGCCAGTAAGTGTACATCATATATATGTGATGTATAATCAAAGAATAGCTAATGTGCAACCAATCAAAGTTAATCTTTCACTTATATTTAATCAGTAACCTGGGCTCTATTTGCTTTGAATATCGAGATGTTGAGCATCATTGTTGTCTTTGTGTGGCTTTGCAATTTAAAACCTTCTCTGTAGTAGCACATTATGTTCCATAAAACCTTTGGTACAGTGAAACAGAGAAAAATGTGCCAAGTGCCTCCCCCTCCCCCCAAAGCAACTAAACAGGAATCCCCCTTTTCTCCATTTTTCTGAAAACTCTGATCTAATAAAAGCTGAAATCTGATTGGCTACTCTGGGTCACTGCTCTTTACACTCTCTTAATAAATAAGCCTTGATGCTATACTCAAGTCGTTAAACTGTAAACCTCTTAAAACTCCATCACCCCTTAATTGCTTTTGGGAACGTTTTCTCAAAAGGATTTTTAGTTCTTGATAGTAAATGGTGATGTTCCTATTTCCTGCATGCAGAAATCTTACACTCACAGGGTATTTTTTAATATATCTAGTCACTTATCTTGTTGCGTTTGCAAATATCATATGTATTCTCTCGAGATAAAAATAGTGCTAGATGATTAGTTAGGCAAGTTCACTTGACACCATTCCCTATCCGTGACGCTGGGACCTAAGATCTGTATATGGTATGCAACTTAAAGTATATATAAATCGGGCTAGCCCTGAGGGGGACACTCAGCAAGCACTCCACTGCCAAGCAGGTCTCCTCTCTGCCCAGCCTAAACCACCACAAGGTAAGCAACTAAGACGCAGACACATGGGACACAGCAGACCAAGGGATTGCAGCAGTACAAGAGAGAAGATTTGGACACAGAACTCAAGGAATATCAGAATAAGGGGAATATTATACAGAAGCATAATGGCTGGAAGTGGAAGTAAACTAAGCTTGCTTACTCATCAAGACCATCTTTTTAAATAGTCATTAAGTCATTTATTAAAAATAATTAGAAGATAAAAAATTATTTACAAATTGAATATACAAATTACTTGTAAATAGAATATAAATAACAGTCTCTTTCTTCACTCCAGTAAATTAACCTTGCATTTTATTTATAAATGAAGAGTGAAGTTGAAAACAATTATTAGAATTTTTCAGTGCCCATAGACCAAATGCAATGGACTTACATCTTGATATCAGACATTCATTATTGGGGAACATTTAAGGATTCTCATTTTAATTAATAACTAGTTTAATGAAAGCCTTTCCTTTAATTTACAGAACAATAATGTCTATCACTGACATTGTCTCCGAGAAGGACATTGATGCCGCACTTGAGAGTGTGAAGGGTAAGTCAGTGATTACAATTTAATCCAGAAAACCATACTTATTCAATAATACAGAGCTTTACTAGTATGTGCACCTATGTAGGCTGTTAGTTCAACCATAACAGCAGCAAGCCTATTTAATAATTGAGTGGAAAGTAAATTAACAATTAGAAAACAGAAATGATTACAGGTGGCTACTACGGGATACCACACTTTGTATGTAAATATGTTTTTTTGTATAGCCATACCATGCTTATATAAGTGCACATATAGGGGTTGATTTACTAAATGCAAATAGGCTGTTTGCTTTGCACAGAATACCCAATCACGTGCAAGGAAAATAAAATAAATATATTTTTTGCTTGCACACGATTGGATGAGCAGAGCTTCACCTCATTCACTAATTCTCCTGCAAAGTATAAATTCTCTTGCATAATGAACAGCCTATTTGCCTTTTGTAAATCAACTCCATAGTCTACAACTGCAATTACAAATAAGTAGACAACTGCAAGTAGAGTGTTCATAGCAAAACATACTTTGAATAAAAGTATAAATTCTATCATAAAAACCTAGTGTATACATTATCTTTTAAATAACGGCTCATTGATCAGCAAATCATGCAATAAATTTGGTATCAACAGTTACACAAAACATATTTATGCCAAAGTTAACCTATACCTTAGAATAACATTATCCTTTGTAAGCTAAGGAAATCCTCCTTATGCAAAATTAATTTTTAAATGCTACAAACTGCTTCTATTGGCAGTGGCAAAAGAATGAAAATCACTGCAATAAAGATGCATAAAAGAAAAAAAAACCTCTAGAAAAAAGGCTTAATTATAATAATACCTACATTTTTCTGTTTAGTGAATTGAATTTTGCATTTAGAGATAGAAAATGTTATATTGTGTTTGCTTTTCTTGCATCTGAAGGTTCATTCAATTACAAAACCTATAGAAAAAAAGGCTGCATTTTAATAATACCCACATTTTTCTGTTTGGTGAATTGAATTTTGCATTTGGAGATAGAAAATGTTATATATGTACTTTCTTGCTTTTATTTCAGCTGCAGGTTCATTCAACTACAAAACCTTTTTCCAGAAGGTTGGCTTGGCCGGCAAGAGCGCGGCTGATGCCAAGAAGGTTTTCGAAATTCTTGACAGAGACAAGAGCGGATACATTGAGCAAGATGAACTTGGGTAAATATACATTTTAACACTTTTTGAATTGGAATACAGTGAGCCACTGGGGCATTAATTATGTTAGTAGAAACAAAAAACAACACTACAAAAAATCTGAAAACTCCAAACCATATAGAGTTAACAGCCAGTTTGTAGTAAGAAAATAATTGTTATAGGTGGGCACTAGCGGCCTAAATTACCCACTTAATTTAACAGCAAACATCTGACCCTTTGAATTGTTGGCCTTAGTCTGTAGAACTGGCAACTCATTAGCTGAAACCTTGATGCTGGGGTCTCAGTGAGAAAAAAGAGTTAGTGGGTGAATCAACCTATATCTATCAAAAACAGAAACATTGATTTAAAGAAAATTGATTCTTAGATGGTGTAAGCCCAATAGTATAGTAATAGTAAATGTAGAACCTTACTGATTTTTTTGTTTTTCTGTTGTGTAACATGCAATATTTTTTTGTTCGATGACAGCCTTTTCCTCCAGAACTTCAAGTCTAGCGCCAGAGCTCTGAGCGATGCTGAGACTGCAGCTTTCCTGAAGGCTGGTGACTCTGATGGAGATGGCAAGATTGGAGTAGAAGGTAAGCTTTTTATCTTAGTTATTAATACTCAAATAACAAATTGTACTGCTGTGGTATTGTGATGGTACTGCCAAGCTGTCAAATTTAGTGGAGGCCACTCCCAAAACCAGTCACACGTTATCTGAAAATGCTTCCACATCAGTGCTCTCTATAACAAAATTGACTAACAGTATTTAGTTGAAATAGGCTGCTATAAAAATAGTTAATCCTCAAAATATAGTTGAGTTAATGTCGCTGGTTCCAGGACATGCTTTACATGTATATCCCATATGCTGTAATGAATAAAACTAAAAAAAAAACAAACTTAAACTAGAAAGTGTGCTTAAGATGTGTTTTTGGGAACAGTGAAGCTGAACATACTGTTTCCACTAGCACAGTTACACGAATTATGCTTTTAAACATCAGTCAGCTGTCCTTTTATGCTGGGATGGTCCTGAAATGGGAGGGACTTTTGGAATGGAGCAGTTTTACTAAATATGGACAGACTGGGTGCAGAGCTTAGATGAACTCTGACTGGAATTAATTTTTTTTTTTTTGTTTAAATGTTGAAGGGTATGCTGTTAATCTCAGCTGGTAGTGTTCCATGCCAACATAACAATAAATAATTTAACCATAAACTGTTCTTGAATGTAGGTGTTGTTCCTTTAGTGGCAAAGTGTAAAAACAGCACTGTTACAAAGGTCTCATTCATTTCTCTAATAGTACTTAAATCTTGTTTTGCCTTACAGTTTTAACATTAGTAATGAAACCACTATATTCCATATTTAATCAAAATACAGTTAGAATATTTTAAAACAGTTTATGGTAGAATGTAAGAGTTTGGTTTGCTTAAAGGCCAGTAACTAATAAAATCTTCACACAATTTGTTAACTTACTATTTATGGTTTCTTTTTAATGTTCCTTAACTATATTAGGTGCTTAAGGAAATATAAGATCCCTAGAGTTTCAGCGGTCTACATCTGCAAGTGTGCAAAGGAAAAGTTTTAAGTAGGATAAAGGACTGGAATATTTAATTAGCTTAAAAATAAAAAAAAATGCTTTTATCTATGACTTAGTTGCAATGAAAGGCAATTTTTTTAGGGGTCATTATTAAATGTTTTATTTTGTTTTACATTCCAGAATTCCAGGCTCTGGTGAAGGCATAAACAGCCCAAGTCCAAAAAAACTTCAAGAACTGAACCCTCACTTTTCACCCAACAGACACCTCATTCACGGCTGGCACTTATTTGTGCATTTTTATACTGTCTCATGGCATTGGTAAAATGCCTGTATGTTAACTCTTTTTGGGACTACTGAAAAATCTAACAATGTACAGGTATTCTGCTCACTCGATGTTACGTCTTAAATGTTTATGGATGGCACATAGTGATCTTGACCAATCACAATGTTGAAGTTGTGGCTGGAAGTTGGAAAAACAAAAATAAAAATTATTTAAATAAATAATTGTTTGACAATTCATTTTCCTTTTTTTTATTCCTATACCAAAAAAAAACAAATGCACTGAAAATTCAGCAGAATATCATCATTTTAAAGCATTTTTTAAAAAAGTGATTGACAAGCAGGGGATATACACATTCAATGTGATTATATTTATCTAATGCTAATTTCTTTGCTAGGCAAATATTTGATTTCAAAATCAACTTCTATTTAATTCACAAAACATAAAATTATTTATTTCAAATTTTTTTTATACATTTATAGTATTTTATTTATATAACCGTTTTCATTACCAAGGTCTACTATTGCAACTACATTTGCTACTACTATTGCTACTACCATTATTTTGCAACATTTATTTACAAAAAAATATATATTTAGTATTTTTTTACAGTTCTCAAATATCATTTTACAGTTCCTATTAAAAATTAGAGAACTGGCTCACACTAAGAAGATTCTCCCAAATAGAAATGACCTCATGTTTTTACAATGGCTTTACTTACTACAAGCTATCGCATAACATGAACACAGTGTAGAAAGCCAACAGAAGTCTTAACATTTTGTTCGGCTCCCTTGACTACTGGCTGCTGAGTCTAAGACGTAATCCAATATAATTGCTGAAGCCACACTACTTGTTTCCCATAATGTTTGAGATCACATTTCTAGGGAAGTACTACTTACTTTTAAATATTTATTCTTTTTTATTGTTTTTTTTTTTTTTTTAAAGAATTCTGATTAGGATTTAAAATTTGCCTCAATCAGTCTGTAAACAACTATGAGGAAGTTTAAAGGAATAGAAAACTAAACCTATACCCATGTGAAAACCTATGTTCATATTTTATTTTTTATTTCTACAAGATATTAGTATATCAGTTTAACTTTACTTAAACAGTTCATTTAACATTAAACATGATGTTGAACCTGGGTTTTAATAATCACGCATTTGTGTTTGTAATATTTTTTTTAAGGCTATAAAAAAAAAAAAAAGAAAGCTATCTTTAATGACCAGTGCTTATTGCAGGGGTCCAGTTGCAGTGAAACGGAACGCTGCTGAATCTTACATTGCTCAGTGGTCTGTGAACTCTGAGCCCATCTTAAGTTGCAGGTTGTGTTTCACTTACAGTTCTGGCATGCTGCTGAGTTGTTTGGCATATGGAGCCTAAGACTGCAATGCCAGAAATCTGGATGAAATATTATGCTGCACCAAGCGGACATACCAGAGAGTTAGCATGGAGGGAAGTTGGGTCAAGGCTTCTGTTTAGTGCTTAAGGAAAATGCAGCAGGTAATAGGGTAAACCCAATGCAACTGGTAAAAGCTTTGATTAAATATCTGAATATTCTTCACTATGCAATAATATTGTACAAAGAACACTGAGAGCTATTACAAATATTAATAGTCACACTGCAGATGTGTGAACTATGTGTAGCTCATGTATTGTTGCTAACAGCAAAAGCCTCATGAAAGTAACAGCTCCATAAAGTGTATATATGTAAACCAAATTTCTTTCTTTCCTTCCTTTTTTTTTGCTTGTGGTGTAGAAGGGATAGATCCCCTGTAAAGTTGTTATTGTTTTTTGTGACCCCACTGAGGAAATTAACTTTATTTCTGTATTTGCCCTCGTGACTATTATCTCTGGTACAAAAAATGATAATCCAAAATTTTACAGCTGTCACAGTGAGATGAGCGGAAATCTTCCTATAGGGATGCCTATTTTAATGACAGCTGTCTAAGATGGAATTTTCCTTCAATTTGGAGAGATTTTATTTTATGTCTCTGGGACAGGAAGTAAATGAAAATCTGCTTGACTAAAAAATAAACCGAAAGAAGAATTGGTGCTGAAATCTTACCCTAAAAAATCACTAAAAAAAAAAAACTTTCGTAAAAACCAAAACTTTCAAAATTTCATTAAAATACCTCAGGGTATGCTCCCCTAAAACCATTATTCATAATAGAAATAAGCCATAAGTAGCTCAGCAATCACAATTAATTTCCTTGCTGGTGCTGGCAGAGGTTATTATTCCCACAAGTTGTTCAAAAGGCATTGGGCTTGAATGTGGAGCTTGTGGCTATTGCAAATCGCTTTATCTTTTTTGGATATCTTTCCACATTAAGCTTTAGGAGCCCTTTTCATATTGAACTGTGATCTCTCCCCCTTTATCCACGACCCAATGGGCTCCCTGATTTGCCTTTTGGGCATCAGTTCCATCTTTTACCTCTGACCTCTACACCCGTGTATTGTGGGGTATCCACCAGCTCAGGTCAAATACCCCTATGGGGTTATCTTTCAGCTGTATTCAGTTGCACCCCTTGAGACCCTTAAAAAGCTACAACTTTGTTGTGTTACAAATCAATATCATATATTGTTGATATCTATATTGATTGATTGATGTGAGGGGGAAGTGTCATTGGGGGTTGCTGGGCTGCTTGCGCTTATTTCTGTTATGAAAAATGTATTTTAGGGGAGCATACTCCTTTTGTATTAAAATTGTGGTTTTATGATAAATTGTTTTCTGAGTGCTTTTGGGATGAGGAGCTGAGTTATTCAGTTGGACCCATCACTCTTTTCTTGAAAATCTGCTTGACATTAAACAGACACAGGACTCTTATCAATTCCCTACTTTATTAAGAATAAAAAATAATGATTGGCTTTACAAAGACTTCAAAATAGACCATTTGACTGAAAACTAAAACTTTTTACAGCCCAAATACAAGTAAAACCTCTTCTTAAATTTCTAGACTAATAGTGTGTCTCCCCCCCCATCTTCCTTCTTGTATCCAGGTTCATTTCAATAAATACTTAAACAGTATAAACAATATGTAAGCATTATCAATACCCATAAGGATAATCTGCCGGGCTTTACAGGTAAAAATTCAAAACACTGTGACAAAATGTGAGCATGTCTAAGAAAATGAAAGATCTCTGGTGGCACCCCCAGAAGAAAGCAGAAACAAGTTTTGGGGCATGTGTATGCCCCTGCCTCAATTGTGTCACTGGAAGGAAAACAATGTCCCTGTGTTGGTGTCAGTGGGAGGAAAGAATTGTCCCTGCAGTTTCCCTGTACCATAAGGAAAAAATGCCCCAATTTCAGTGGTGTCATAAGAAGGAAAAATGTCCCTGCATTGGTGGAGTCACTGGAACAAAACAATGTCCCTACACTGGTCGTTTCACTAGAAGGAAAAAATGCTCCTGCATTGGTGGTGTCACTGGAAGGTAAAAGTGCCCCTGCATCAGTGTCACTGGGTGGAAACACAAACAGTACAATACAAGGGGGAAGCATTGATGGTGGTGATGCTGTGGGCACACAGTACAGAGAGCCTTTTGATAGTTGGAGAAGGAAGTATAGAGGGGGTAGTTAATGTTTAGAAAGGCAGTACAGAGGGGGGGGCAGTTGATGGTGGAGGTAGGCAGTACAGAAGGAGGAGGCTAATGGTAGGACAAGCAGTACAAAGGGGGCAAGTAACAGTGGGACAGGAAGTACAGAGGGGGCAGTTAATAGTAGAGAAGGAGGAGGCCATCCACACAGGCTTCATCATCCCCTTAGGTCTCTGTTGCCCCCCATGAGTGCCGCTACATGGACTTTGCCCTTCAGTTTGGGTCCTGCCAGCCTGGGCCTAGGCTCTGTGTCTGTTCTCTCTCTCTCCAGCCCTGTTTAACATAGGTTTTAGGACTGGTCTAGAATCCTCATCTTCCGATCCCCCCCAATAACATTAACAATGGGTTAGTGCACAGAAGGTCCCATACCTATTGGATCTGTGTACTCTGCACACATTGCACAAACAGAGGATATGCCCCTGCGAATAGATAATATCACCCACTCTCCTCTCCTTTAGGCGCACCCTGAAAACCTATCTCTTCAGGGAAGCCTACCCCACCCTCAGCTAATTGCCGATCTCCCCCACTCTTCCTACCACTCCATCCCCCACAGCTATTTCCTCCTGTACCACTATCCCCTCCCTCCTAGATTGTAAGCTCCAAGGAGCAGGGCCCTCGAACCCCTCGTGTATCGAATTGTATTGTTACTGTACTGTCTCGTGTACTGTCTCCCCCATTGTAATGTACAGCACTGAGCAAACTGTTGGCGCTTTATAAATACTGTATAATAATAATAAACTTCTATTGCTGTGTTGGTTTCTGTTTGGGAAATACAGGATAGGAAATGAGGGAAAATCCTTGCAATAGGAACACAGACATCATAAAAAAAAAAACTTTTTCCAATAGAGTGAGAATGTTTATAGCGTCTGTTTTATTGTTATTGTCTGTGTCCCTATGAGGAAAATCCCTGTGAAATTAACATATAGAATAGTAGGGGAAATCACATTGGTAGACACAGACAAATCTGACAGATGTTAAAACCCTTCCAGCTCTATCCATCCAGAACTAAGAAACATGTTTTTGGGTGGTGCTATAATATGCACACAGTATTATATTTCTTGGGAAAATAGGAACCCGAGAGATGACATATCATGGCTAGTAATCCCTTTAAGGCAAGAGCATTTTGTGCATAGTTAAACCCAGAGTGTTTTTACTCCAAAAACTAGGCAATATCTCTCCAAAAACTAGGCAATATCTCTCCATCCCTCTGTTGTTTGACAGCAAGAAGCAGAATGAGGCAGCTGTCATGCTGTGTTTAGACAATATTGTATCATTAAAGGACCACAGTCAGTAAAAAAAACATTGGTGTTAGTGGTTACTTCTTTAAAAGACAG